AATAATAGTAATATGTTAAGACATATCAACATTTTATCTTGAAAATAAAAAACAAACAAATAAATAGATAAAACACACACACACACACACACACACACACACACACACACACACACACACACACACACATACATACACACACATGTACACTTACATGGAAACAAACAAAACACACACACACACACACACAAATACATACAAACAATAGAATGAGTGAAGTACCACTATAAGATAAAGATTATCTAAAACAACGCAGCAGGTCAAGTCTAGTATTAAACCGATCCAACAGAAACATGATAAATTGAAACATTAATGAACTGGGCTTTGAAACTGGACAATCTATGAATGAATGCAAGCATGTATGTGTGTGTTTGTGTTGGTGTAAATAAGTATGTATGCTAAAACCAAAACATAATGAATGACTCTGAACACTCAAACATCAAGTAACGAATGGATTAACACTTTGATCTAGTAATGTAAGTATGTATGTGTGTATGTATGTATGTATCTATGTATGAATGTATGCGTACATGTATATATATGGATTGTTAATGTGTAATGTGTCTGTAAACTGTGTAGAATTTTCATGCGTCGATGTTTAAGATAGTGTGTATTAAATTTTTTTATAAGTATTTAACACACAAGCACGCTCACACACAGAGCAACACTGGCAACATTCAGGAATATTATTTGCAACATTTAGTGGCGTATCTGTGTGTGTGTGTGTGTGTGTGTGTGTGTGTGTGTGTGTGGGTGATTTTTTGATACACTACACACCCCCAAACACACACACACACACACAGAACAGAAACTACAATAACAATAAGTAGAATAGCGAAAAATGATTTTGTCCTGTGACAGAAAAGAAAATGAAGAGAATTATAACAAAGTTGATGATGATTGAGATATATATATATATATATATATATATATATATAGATAGACAGATAGATAGATAAATAGATAGATATATAGAAAGAGTGAGTGAGTGAGTGAGAGAGAGAGAGAGAGAGATGATGATAACGTTGATAGCGATAGCAAAGACGATAGACAAGAAGATGATGATGCTGATGTTGAAGGATAAGACAAAAATGATTGGGAGATTAATGATAACGATGATAATGGTGAAGGTAAGAGATGACCATTACAATGATGAAGAAATTCAAGACAGTGATTATGATGATGGTGCTTGCTCAGGTAACTGCGAGTAAAAATGATCGTTGATGTAATGAGATGATGTAACAAAGACATTATGTCATGTCTTATCATCTAACATCATCTGTAACAAAGATGATGTTAGATGATAAGAGAGTGTATAAACTATTTTTATGTTACAATACAACCGATAAAAAAATTCCATTGATAATAATAATAATAAATAATAATAATAACCGTAAGAAAGCCAAATTAGTGTAAGAAAGATAAAATTTCGGAAAGCAAAGGAATCTAAAGAATGAACCAGACAAATAAATAAATGCTAAAGACTGGATCATTGACTAGCATACATACATACAGACATGCATACGTACAAAAAAAAAAAAAATTTTTTTTAGAACAAGAAACAAGCCTTTAGCAATTTATCGCAGTCTTTGTAGAAATAATACACAATCTCTATTTAAATTTCAAATGTTTCAACAGCCTCGATGGACGAAGTAAATTTTCCGCTAATAATTATCAAGAATTACTCTTCTGTAAGCAAAAATTGATTGCTGAAGTTGAAATCTCCGACTAAGCAAAACTTTAAATATAAGCCGTGTGATTTTTGATACCTATCTCCAACGAAACCACATCACACCCCACCCTATAATACACGCACACACAACAAATTTGTATACATACACACTTGTATGTATGCGAAACAACACACATACAACAAACGTTTGCGAGTGACCATAGAAGCTTTTTATATATATATAAGACAGAATCTAATTTATTAATTGACAGACAAACATTCTTTTTACCTTTGAAATTTTTTTTATTTGCATAAAACAGGTGTGAATTAGGAGAAATGAATTATCTCCAAAACTAAAAATAAAAGACAAAAAAAAAAAGTAAAGAAAAAACAAAAAAAACATAAATATGTCGTTGAACGATGAACTATTCTTTGCTGAATATGGTGAAAATTGATTGAAACAAAGCGATGGAACAATAAAGGATAGATGATATATATGAAAGATAACTCTCTCTCTCTCTCTCTCTTTCTCTCTCTCTCTCTCTCTTTCTCTCTCTCTCTCTCTATCCCCTCTCCTTAGATAGATATACATACATACATCCACAAATTATTTAAGTAAGATATATGAATTAAATAGTCAAAAATAATCAAATAATGACTCGATGTAATGTAATAGTTATATATATATATATATATACATACACGCGCACACACGCACGCACACATACATACACAAATACGTGTGTCTGTGTTAATATAAACGAATGCTGGCATAAAGACGTATAAACATACAACGAGATACAAAGATACGAACATTTATGATACAAAGATACAAACATTATTATACAAAGATTTATTGTATAATACGAAAAAAACTGATAAATAACAAGCTAAAAAAACCCATCAAAATTAACTTTATTCCTAATTGATTAGTTAATTAATAATTAGTTAGTTAATTAATTAAATGTTCAATTTTATTGTTAGATAAACTAATTATATAGCACATCATTGAGAAATTTTTTCAATCAAATCATAGTGCATCAGGCCTTTAATTAAATTGCTGAATTAGTAAATTATTATACTATAATCAATTAATTAAATACATACAGCCAAAATGTTTAAATGATATTTTCCAAAACTGCTACAACAACAGAGTTAATTAATCAATTAATTAATTAATTAATAAATAAATAATAATAAAAAGTCGAAGTGCGACATCTAGCTAGCTCTACGCATAAACACCCAAAAATTGGTAAAAAAAAGTAAAAACAAACAAAAGCAGAATAAATGAATAATAATATTAAAAAAAAAATATGAAATATTGATAAGATATAAATAATAATTTTTTTTGTCATTTTGTCAAATAAATTCAATAAATAATCCAATCTAATGCAACAAATAAGAAACGCAGAAAATACTGTTACACACACACACACACACACACATATATATATATATATATATATAACGTACAGCAACGTATAAGCATACGTAATACTCATACAGACGTACACATATAAATACAAACACGTGTATGTGTATATATACAAAGTTTATACAACGTACGATACAAATTTGTATACACTCACTCTCCCTATTTGTATAAACTCTCTTTGAAAATAATCGATAGATATTGAATAACGGCGATGGTTATGAGGAGTAGCACACATACAAAAGTGTACGTGAATTAAATACACACAGATACACATACAAAACATATACACGTGTATTGCGCATTGCCTTGTGTGAGTGTATGTACATATATGTACACAAACTATTATCCATATTGGTGGACACTATATTAATGGAAAGTGGTTGGTCTATCAAAAAAATTACATTAAAAATTTACATTTATCTATGTACATGTGTGTTGTTTGTTTGCTTGTACTCGCGGAACCCTAATCTCTACTGTTCATTGCATATGACACTGACACACGTACACACACATACGCACACACACACACACACACGGTTAGGTATACGTTTATTTGTACATTATATGTTATAGATGCATACGTATATATACATGTATGTGTACAATATATTATATATATATACATTTATACACACATATATATGCAATTATCGATAAAAATCACCAGCATGTTCCGTGTTACTTAGCTTTCTATTTAATTTCCACCAGGAGAGATATTAGTAAACAATACTGGTATAATATACGGTAACAAGAACCACAGCCATCTAAGAATTGCTGAAGCGATCTTCCGTGACCTAAGAAAACCGCCAACCAACAGGCAGCAAAGATTAGCAACAACATTACCACCCAGATGAATTTTATTGGAAGACTTTACAAAAGCAAAGAGAAAGATATAATAAACGGACAGAACCAACGGAGAGGACAAAGTAGAGTAGGAGCAATTTGCACACACAGAAAACTGTAAAACCATGGAATATCACTATATAAGCGCTGATGATTAGTAAAATCGAAATATAACCTACATGCTTCACCATGAACACCAACGATTTTCTTAATAATTTTAATAAATTGGATAATAATTATAAAATTACTATTAGAAATATGGAAAATCTCCATTGCAAACTCTCAAAGGCTAAAAATTCGGTAGATTTTATCAAACATTGCATCAATTATGGTCTTCTTCCAGCCTATATATATATATATAACAATATTCTATAAATTCTACCGAAAGTTTGGCGTTAATATGTTTGTAGTTCGTTTTTTTCTCANTAAAGTTTTTTG